GTAAATGAGTGAAACTCAAAAGCCTGAATTTTGCCTGAAACTCTCAGACTGAAGAAGTCTCTTGGAAGAGAGACGAAACGTTTCATTAGAGAAGAACTCGTCCAGAGGACCTATACAATTTTTTTCCTTTTAATAGTTAAAAATGTTTTTTTGAACCCCCACTTCAAATAACTGAAATATTGCTTAAAATAAAGTTTTGTCCCTTTTACGTTGCATTGTTCTCACATTTTTAATGATAAACCTAAGTCTCGGGGGAGAATAATTAAATAAGTAAATGAACAAACCAGCTAGTAACAAAGAACAAGGACCACCTATAAAATTATTGTCAAGAGTCTATTTGCCCTTTTGGACTTTCACACAGGGTCAGGTAGCTACATATATGGATTCTTGAACAGAGCCTTCAAAATATACATAAAGAAGAACACAGAGTAATCCAAATCCGATGATCAAACAGAGATAGGAGAAGAAATTAGGGATGAGCAATAGAGACATAATCAATACTAAAGAAGCAAAAAGTTAAGTACTGCACAACATATTGTGATTTTCTACTTTAAATTTCTATATTCACACCATGTCTGTGAAGGCTCAGGAGAGAGTGAACATTCTGTGTTTTTATTCTTACCATCACTGCAGACTTCAGGGGTGCTATATTTTCCTGCTGAGGCAGTTCTTCGTAGTCATCCCAGCGGATGAGTCTGGGCAGGTCACTGCTGTCTCTCAACAAAGGTCTTATTGGAAGAGACTTGAGAGGAGAAAGTGTGGGGAACCTGGAGAGAGGGACAACACTCTGATGAACTGTGAAGATGGAGCAAATAAAGATGATAGAAAATTATATAGAAACATCCTCTCTGGATTTTCAAAACACACCATTTCTAAAACAAAGAAGCCTCTTCAATAGCAAAACAATATTCATTTTGACAAAAGAAAAAACATGTTGATAAGAACAAAATGTTCTGTTAATGATCTGTTTTACTTGCAGAATCAGTCTAAATAATAAAAGTAGTAAGGTGCTTTTTTTTAATTTTGTCTGTTTACCGGTACAGATGGCTATTGTCTTCAAAGTCCTCTGTCCCATGTCGTCCTTTGATGTCTTCAATCACGTGAGCCTTCAAGAACTTCTTGAGCAGCTGAAGGGTCTGATAACGGGTCACCTCAGGCCCAAAGTTGTAGTTATGTCTCAGCAGCTCGTGCAGATAATCCACAGCCTCCGACCCAGTGAAACTGCTGTCATAGCAGCGGAAGTGTGCCCAGTGCCTCCGCAGTGGCATACCGCCACGAAAAAGTTTGATTGTTTCATTCCACTGCATTTCACAGAGACAGAGGATGTGAAGTGTGATAAATAAATAAGAAAACAAAAATGCAACAATTAGAACCCAAAGGACATGGTAATAACTTAGTGACTGTTATTTTGAAATTAAATGATTAAGAATAAGACGTAAAACAAATATCTTATGTCACTGCACATGATTGTACCAAACTAAAACCATTTTTCTTCTTTCCATTATTATTATTTTTTATTGAATGATGAGGAGTTGCTGTGACGGGTGCCTTAAAGTTGTGGTTTTAAACAATGCCGACATTAACATGTACATTTTATAAAAAGTCCAATAATATGAGCATGACAGACAAAGTTATGGTACATCTATATTATTATAGCACATCCAGCAAATTTCTATAAAACCATAAAAATCCACAATTAAACGTGAAAATATATAAATAATGTGAAGCATAGTTCAGCAAGATGCTTTGGTTGTCAGGGGCACCACTAAGAAGGTTTAATGAACCCACATGTTTTGGAACAACATACGCTCCTAGGGCTGGGCGATATCTCGAGATTTTAAAAATATCGAGATTTTTTTCAAAAGAGATACAAGACGAGCCTATATCGTTTATATCGAGATGCTCTACGTTGCATTTTAATTATTATTTTAGATCCGCCAATTCTGTGTCTGTGCTGAACTTCCCACGGCCCCTCCTCCTTCCCACTCTGAAGACAAATCACCCCTCCCCTAGACCCTACGTGTCTTCCGGCAGCTAGCTAAGCTAGAGCTAATAGGAAGATTAGCGTGCCGCRTGAACACTGAACAGCCACGACAAGATGGAAGGTGAGAGTGAAAGTACGGGAGAGGATACTGAAGAGCACTTGGTGAGCAAAAAGAAAAACAACGGCTCACTCATTTGGAGATGGTTCGGATTCAAAACCACAGATGAGCAGCAGAAAGACGTAATTTGTAG